ACATTGTTCCATCTTGTGGTTTTGTCACATTTTACATTCTTGGAAGAAGACAAGAAGGACTTTCCGAACTTTCTTTTTTTCATACCCAGAAGTGGATTTCCATCCACTTCGAAGATTATTTTTGGGCAATTTGTCTGGCCCTGAAGAGTCCTGGAAGCAGAAATTTTTCTGCCGGACCTACAGAGGTTGTCCATTCTGGACATAAATAAACTCAGTGGTTCATCTTTCTTTCTTTCTTTCTTTCTTTCTTTCTTTCTTTCTTTCTTTCTTTCTTTCTTTCTTTCTTTCTTCTTCTTCTTTTTCTTCTTCTTCTTCTTCTTTTTCTTCTTCTTGTTTCCATCCCTCCTCCTCTCCAGCTGCCCTCCTTAACTGTACTAGCTCCCTTCCCCACTACATTCTCTCCAGTCACCCTGGTAACATGCCAATTCCATTCCATTTCCTCCCACCTGATCTCTCCCACATCAGGTTCATTACACAACATATGATTCAACACCAATATTCTTCTTTGTACTTATGCACTGAAGAGTTTTATGGTGTTCATTGACTGTGTATTTGTCTTGTGGAGATCAGGGGTTCTGGAATTTATACAGGTCTCCTCTGAAATAACTCTGATGTCGGTTCCTGAGTCTATTTTAAAATTAGTGGTTGTCCCATGAATAATTATGTTTATTGTCTAGGAAGGATGAAGTTCTTTTAAAAATACAGAGCCTGATTAAAATAGGCCATCCAACAACGTTTTTACTTGTTGCACTATGTGAGTCATACACTATTTCCTACACTGTGCTTCCTTACCTGGACAAACTTTTCCAATGTTTTCAACTTTTTAACATCTTGTCAATGCCATCTGAAAAGACTGTGATATTTTGGTGCTTTAAAAATGGCAAGCTGTAAAAAAAATGTAAGCTGTATAGGCAGCCTTCCCATTAGCAAAGGGTTTTTCTGTTTCAAAACAGCTGCCACAGGTCCTAATATTTTGTGGAGTATAAATTAGTGCCTTCATATCATTCTAATGTTGTTTTTGGTTCTGATCTGAATTTTAATCAACCCAGGGCCCCTCCAGATGGAACATTTGTTGTCCATTTTGTACCTGATGTGGCGTTTACTGTATCACTATTTTTTTCTGCCATCCATATGACATAAGGCTTGAATTGGTTCCAGTGGTGATGAAATCTGGTCCGTCTCCTGAAGGTTGCTTCCATTTTTATGTCAGTTCATTCTGAGCAGGCTGAGCTTAATGCTATGGCATTTCCCAGAGGAAGTTCATTTTTGCCATCAGCTTCCTAGTTGAAAATCTTAAATTATCTTCCAGATACTACAAAGACTCCAAAAATGCCTCAAGGTGAGAAACTCCAAAGCAGGAAAAAAAGGTGGTGGTTTGGTCTGGTTTTTAAGAAATCTTTGAAATATGTTAAAGGATTTTGTATGAGAAACTACGTTCAGGTAAGTGCTTGTACACTGAGATTTTGGTTTCAGCAACAGCCCTATTACACTCTGCATGTACTGATTACCAAGTGGGAGAAAGAAGGATTGAACTTTCCCCTGTCTGAAAAAGCCTTCAAATTGTCTAGTATTTTCAGCTTTGGGAAAGGTTAAATCATTTATTCATTGAATTATTTCAGAAACCCCTTTGTCTAAAACTCAAAGCACTAAGCTATTAATAAGATGCTTCATTTATTTGGCAATTGAGAGTGTTCAGCCTTCTGAAGTAACATACAACTTGTCCATTTTTTTATAAACATAGGTTACTTTTTTCCTCAGTGTAAAAATACTGGGCCCAAATACACCTGCTGCTCCCAGTGTTGCACTCATCATGGTGGACCTGAGAAACACAGTCAGCTGCCAAGCAGCCTGTTGGCGTCCATGTACATTTGAGTTGGACACTGAAGCAGCTGCCTTGGCACCACATCTAAGGACTTTTTCTTGGCTGGCAGGGTTGGGGAGGCAGGGCCAAGGCAGGTGTGCTTAAGGGAAGCAGGCATCATTGTAGTCTACCTGCTTAGTATTTAGACAGAGACACCTACTGGCCACAGGCACTCTCTTCCTTAACAGTCTTCCCTTCCACCTTCCATGTATCATGTTTTTGGTGTTTCTGTATGCATATGGCTGCATTACTGTTCACAAACACATTTTCCTGTAATAATTCTATAACAGTTTTTTGTGAGATACAGCAGTTACAAGCAGTGAGTCAGTTCCAGGAGCAGTGGCAACAGGTACAGACTTGCCCCCTCAATGTTTGTTGAAATCCCAGAGGTGAAGGCATCATCTGTTCCACTTGAGACCCAGATAATAGAATAGAATATGCTGTCTGTCATAAAGCTATGGCCATATTCTTCCAAAACATTGAGTATGCCTTCATCCTTTTTCTGCCCAGGGCTAAGGGTTTGCTTAGAATTAGGAGTACAAATTATATGCACTGTTTCAACTTCTCTGTGTCTTGCTGAAAGCAACTTTCCCCTCTCAACTGTCATGCAATGCTATTCCATGAAGCCACTGGAGAAGAAAAGAAGGATGATTCCATCAGCTCTGCTAAAAAAAAAACTGGCTCTTTTTGGCTCCTTTACCACTGAACTAGAGATCCATAAACTACTTCTTGAAAGAATTCTGTAATTTTAAGAACTGGCAAGTGAATTTGCTATTTTCTCTCTTCCATTCCCATCACTTTTACCTAATAGATAAAGTTGAGAGCAAGAACTGTTTCCCCCCCCCCTTCCTTTTCAGGAGTCTTTTTTGCTAGAGATTGAGTAATAAGTGTTTTAAATACATAAATAAATACAGAGAGCCTAAGTGGATTTTTTCAGTGGCTATTAGTCCAGTTAACTATATGAAACCTCTGTCTACTTAGTACGATATTAAACAATCAAATATTTTATGAATGTTCAAGTGACCAGTTTCTGTAATTTTTGCAATAGTTTTCAACATTTTTATCTTTGGGAAAAATTTCCTAATTGCTATATATTTGTTGAAAATCTTCTGCTGAACTCCTGCATGCAGGAAATTCTGGGCCACACATTTTGTTTGTATAATGCATTACTGTTGCCCAAAAGAAATGGAGAGTTTAGCACACTTAAGACTCACTTTCAAGTCCTGGTTCTAAAAGGAGACTGATAATGGAGCACAAACTATTTCCCAAGAATTGATTGCATTTTGGAATTACTGAAAGATGTCTACGGAACACCAAAGCTTCCTCTGAAAATCAGTACTAGGCATAGCATCGTCATGTATCTTTGTCAGAAACCTGCAAGGTCCCCAATAGTCCAAGAAAATATATCACTAATACCTTCCTCAGTTGCTTCTTCAATTAGTTTTGGCACTCAGGACTGGGCAGCCTGACAGCCATCATCAGAACTTCACAGCATAATTCAGAGCAGGGCTGTGCATTGAATTCAACAAATACTGAAACACTTACTGAAATTGGGCAATTTGTGCCAGTTGGAGTCTACCACAAATTAGAGCATAGAGCCCCAGGCTACTCAAGGTGTGCATCAGCAACCTCACAAATTGTTCAAAGAAAATCTGGAATGCACACATTTTTAAAATGTCTTTTTAAAAAGTGTAATATGATGAAAAACAGGGAAGGAGGTAGAGAAAACAATCCTTTATCAGGAAGACACAAAAGCAGCCAACAGACATGGAAACTGATACCTTCACACACAGACACACACAGACACACACAAAACCCAGGGACTTATCCTGCACATTCCAATCATTGTGGCACCAGGGAGGGCCTCTGAGTGACGTCGTTGCAGCCACTATTCATAGCATTTGGTTTAAATTTTAGGTGAGGAACAGTACCAGTATTTGTGTGTATAGCATGAATACCATAATACTGTACCTAACCCTAACCTAATCTATTGCATTTGCACATTCTCTCATTTTAAAAAACCCTAATAGCCTGTGTGTGTACGTGCACAAGTGCAGTGCTTGCATTCTTGCATAAGTTTTGAGTATTTAGTTCAGTACCTCATCTTTGTCTGTCAGAGCCTGTCTTCTCCCTGCCCCATCAACTTTGGTTTCTTGTTGGTGCAATTGTACCACAGTCAGATTTCAAGAAATACAACACAGATACCACATATACAATACAATACATGTTCATATAAAAATAGCAGGAGGGAGATTGCTAGATGAAGATGTACTGTACTATCATCCAGCATAATGTAGGATCTTCCAGGCAACTTAACTATCTACAAAGGACACTGTTCCTGAATTGACACGATTGAGCAGTTAGCAGTAGCAGTACTTTTAAAAAAGGAGGGGAGAAAGGAAGAAGAGGAAGGAAAGAATCATATGTTGAAGGTGGCTGGCACCTACATCTGAAAAACAGTGTGTCTGCAATAAGAGATGCTGAATGCCTTGTTTATAGTATACCAGGACCCCAAAATTCACGGCACTGGGTAACAGCCCCCAAAATTGTAGCCATTTGTGTTCTACTATTCCAGTGAAGGGGAGGTGAGGGTCCTAGATATTCAGAAATGCACAGATGTGAAAATGAGTCAGATGATCTCTCAGAGGGCACAGACTGAATCAGATCCCAACCTACATGTCGGTATTCAAACAGAGATCAAGTAACTAGTGCACAGCTCCAGTCCAGTGTGATCCTATGTTGGTGACATTCTGAGGAAACATTTGTGATTAACTCCTGCAATTAATCAGAGAAGCAGTGCTACTGCATAAGTGAATAAAGGAGGAAGCCCAAAGGTGCCACTGGATCACCTCATGCTGGAGCCCCTCCTAGCCCTGTCAGTGCCAGATACACAGAAACAGAGGGAAATCAAATGAGTAAATGTATGGTAAAATCAAATTTTGAATTCTGGACTTTTTGGACCACAGCTCAGTCTGTTCAGTAAACTCTTCTCACTGGCTGTCAGCATAACAGCTGGATAACTTGCATTGTGTACTGCAGACACTAATTTTTAAGACAGCATTTAACAAAAATAAGTTCCTCTTTCACTGCCGACAAAGTCATATTGTTTTCCAGAAATAACATATCTTGTCCTTTTCAGTGGAAATATTCCAGTTCCAGAGAAAAGATGAGGCTTTAGAAGTGGGCATCATGTCTCTGTTTTGGTGAGATTTGGATGCTTTCCTGGCTGGAGAAAGAAGACTAGACTACATTTCATGCTGAAAAGGAAAATAAACTCTGTCCAAGTTATGGCAACGACCCAAGTCAGCTGTGTAAGTGGACAGCTGAAACGTTTTCTTATTCTTCAACAAATCCTGGAAGATGGGCAGTACTATATTTTTCAAGCATGGAAATATTTTTTTTCTTTTGGAACAACATGTGCTAGAATTGTTCCAATGGCTATAATGAGAGTTTTGCAGAGTAAATATACTTACTGAGAAACAGAGATGCTGATAGTTATTGTATAGTGCAAGTATAGCAGGCACCAAGTAAGACTGGTTGAGTAACTGAGTGATTGATTAGTTGGTTTAATATACTGCCTGAGTAGTGAATGCACACTATGCTGGGTGTACAAAGAAGGAAATCCCCCACAACCCCCACCCACTCCATTCCCATAAAATATATAAAAACATAATCAAAATAGTGAGATAATTAACTTGAGTGCAGTAATCTAACAGAAACCTGCAACTGAAACGTTAAAATTAATATCATTTGAGGGTAAGATATCCTTAAAGGCTGCCTTATATAACTCTTAATGTCTTGAATACTAAGAAGGATGACGCCTGGTGCACCTCAACTGGTAATTTATTCCATAAAGTGGGGGGTATTCTGAGAAAGCCCAGCTCGTAATTGTTGCCTTTCTGGCTTCCATCAACGAAGGAGTGACATAAGAGGCTGATTTTTGGGAGAGATGTTCCAACAAATATCAAAGAATACTTGTTTATCTGAGTGCTATTTGTTATCAAATAATGATGTCTGTGTTTGCAAACCAATAGCCTGACCCTATGTATGTGTATGCTCACTAGGAAACACAGCATTTTGCAGGATGAAGCATTTGAGTCAACAGCCGAAGCCCACAACCTGTGTTTGCCTTCGTCATCCAGTTGCTAAAATTTGAACCCACCTGCCCACTCCTTCAAAGCCCCAAAATGAGGCAAAGCAGAACTTGGAAATTACAAGTGATTGGTTACTTTGGGGATAAGAAGTACAGTAATGTAGTTACAAAATTCTTTTTCAAGTGTAATGACTTGCACTTAACTTAGGTGAGGGCATTTAAGTCATTTTAGATGCATTTTGATGTAACATTTTCAGTGTTTGTGCCATTTTCTTATCAATCCCAAAGGCAGTGGAAGTATTATCTAGTTGTATCTTTTATATTTTTATAAATATCTCCAAGGTAAAATTTCAGAACTTGGCCACTAAAGGGAATGAGAAAGCACTCCTTTGTGATGTTATGGCCTGTTGGGGAGGATTATGGAACCTGTTCATATATTCCTATTAATAACACATGGTGCAATGAATTTATTGTGGACACCAAGCAATGATGACAGCAACCAAGCTGCCATGAAGTAATAAACATATGTGGGCACGCCAGTGAGATAAAACAATAACTGGATTTATTTCTTGTGTTCTCTGTGCACGATATCCTTTACTATGAAACCTTTACTTCTTGACCACTAGTTGGTACAATTTAAAACATGTTTATACATTTTGTTTTGTTTTTGCTCACTTCTACTACTGATGGAGATAAATGTGCACTTTATATAACAAATGTAGATGTAGGTTGTAAATGAAAGCTAACACTGAAATAAATTTGTTACTCTTCAAGGCTTTTCTTTTTATATTTGCCATATTTTTAAAAGAGCCCTAAATTAGGAGAAATCCTGGTGGCAAACATTATCCTCCCACAAGAAGATGCTACCTCAGTGTCTTCTCACTAGAAGATGCTACCTCAGTGGAGGACCTGGATCCTCCAGCATGTGACAAACCTGCAGACATATTGCTGCCAGAGGCCCATGAGGAACCCAGTCTTTTGGGGTGAGCAGCAGAGAGCATTTACACACACATATACACCTCAGACATCTGCTTCAGAGACCAGGACGGAATTGCCACTGCACTGCCAAGAGTATTAGTGCCTACATAGTCAGACCAAGATCCTGACATTCAGGAGAAATGTTTGGCCACACCAAAAGATCTTGTGAGCAAAGGACTCATTAAGAAGAAGGTTCTTCTAATGGGGAGGACCTCTTCCAGAAGCTCTGAAGAGAATACAGCTGAGAAGGTATTAGGCTCTGGCAGTGGAACAACATTGCTATTTCCACTTCACTGTGCCCAGCATTCTCTTAGACAGAATTCCTATCTGCAATTTTGGACTGTCTTTTATCCCTCCTGTTTTCTGAACTCTCTCTGGTCGCTTGATTGAGACTTGCCTTTGAAATATTGATTTGCATTTGATCTTGGACTGCCTTTGCCACACTTGTTCCCTGAATTTCTGAATCCCCAGCTGCACTAGACTTTAAGAAGTCATTTGGCCTTTGTTTAGGACTCCTACACAACACTCTAGATAACAGTTTGGTATTGCCCTCTCTGGAGAAAAAGGCATCCAAGCACGACATTGTACTGAAATTCCATTCCATACTTTACTCACAAGGGAAATCTCAGCCAATTATCCATGCCATGACTGTTAATGGAAAAGCAATAGATTGTGATGTTGCACTACACCCTTGCAACATGCACACCCCTCCCTGCCTGAGATCATGCAATGAATGGATGATGGAAATTTGCAGAGCAATATAGAGTGATTCTGACAATGCTTTTCTGTGAAACACACAGATGTGAATCCCAAGTGTTAACCTTTTCAAGTTAGGAAAGGGCCATAGTTTAGCAATTGTGCATGCTATATAGATTATGAAATAAAATGAGGGGAAATGCCTAGATAACTAATTGAGGGGGGAAAGGATTGCATAATCTTTGCTATTTTTGCTACACTATAACAATCCACCTACCCCTGCCTAAGCTTGAAATAAACGTTCGTAGGTTTTTTTAAAAAGATAAAGGTACTGCTCTCATATGAAAATCTGAATCCAGCCAGTCTAAAGATTTAAGCTATGACTCTCCAGGTTTGAGTCTCAGAGGGTTTGAAATGATAAAAGGAGCTTTATAAGGTAATGAAATAATTTGTAAGAGAATAATCAATAAGGTGCAGGATAGCCTGTCGAATATGTGTGCTATTTATAGGAAAAAAAATCTTAAACTTAAATTTAATATCCTGGAAGCTGCATCCTTGGCATTACAACTGAATATTTTTATATCAAAATGTAGTAATTTAGCTGAAACTGTGTCGAATTTGCAGTAATTGCTAAGGCAAATCATCATCTACCACCACCTTCTTTCTTTTCAGCAAGAGCAATCTTTCCAGTATAGAATTGTTTATATGTACTCTATTTTCTTTGTATGTAAAATAGATGTTTTAGACTCATTTCTTTAAGAGTTAAGATAGCCGTACATATTTTTAAAGGGAAAATCATATTTCCTTTATTTGAAGTCAGGTGTGTGCCATATTGTTCTCTTCCAAAGTTTTTTCACTTCTCCAGAAGATTGGCTACCAGCAACGTGCACACAGTAGCTTTTGCACTCTCAGGGCATGTACATCCACATTAATAGAGAGTTTGGACGTTATCCTTTCTTCATAGTTTCTAGAAAAAGCTTTGGTCTGTTTTATACTGTCTAGCTGCCACCATCTTCTGGTGACCATAAGAGGGCTTTTGAGGTAATTAAAACACAGAGAAATGAGGTAAAACTTAGCTTTATCAGTTCCATCCCTCTCCAAGGAGTTTCCATGTCTGACTGTAGATTTGAACCCAGGTCTCATAGTCCATCATTCTATCCACTACACCAGTGGTCCCCAACCTTGGGCCTCCAGATGTTCTTGGACTTCAACTCCCAGAAATCTTGGCCAGCAGAGGTGGTGGTGAAGGCTTCTGGGAGTTGTAGTCCAAGAACACCTGGAGGCCCAAGGTTGGTGACCACTGCACTACGCCATACCAGGAACTTCTAGAAAAAACGGGGCTGTTAAATTCCTTAAATTCTTTGCTCTTGTTTACACTTAGGGTGCCTAAACTCAAGATGTCACCTCAATCAGGAATTTTCAAACATTGAAATTCAGATAATATTAATTAGTGTCAGCTAGTGACGTTTGTGGGGGAAATGTCCAGGTTTAATTAGTTTTTTCTGGGGAAGTCCCTCATTAGTTTTGGGACCAGCCAGGTAGCAGCCTTTTCAGTAAATCCAAAAGTGCCTGGTTTTCTTCAGATTCTTTCAGTTAGGGTTTCCTTATTTGGGGTTGTCCATTTCTCCCCACCACCTGGAAGGTACCAAGAGATTCTGCCCTGTTCCATCAGGCTCTAATCCTGTTCAGTTTCTCTTTTCATCATCCAATCTCACCATTTTAGGGTCAGATACCACTCTAGAGCAACGACGTATTTCCTCCTCCTATAATACTGTCCATCCAGCTATGAGCCAGAGAGATCAGGCATGCAAAGGAATCTGTGCTGTCTTCCAGTTGACTGATTACAAGACACAAGAAGGATAGTTTGCCAAGTGCAAATTGAGGTAAGCTTGTGTTAGAATAAACAGACTTTTCCTCTCAAGAGTACATGGCTCCTAGATACGGAATCAGCATCTTATACGCTGATAACCACAGAATCTGAGCATCGGGAGCTCTGGTGGGGCTGGGCCAGCACTGAAACAGGGGCATACTTCCTCCTGCAGATCTCACTCACTGTATCACAGTGACAGTCTGGAAATCTCCTTTGGGCCTGAGCCTCAGACAATTAACCTGTCTTTCAGTGCATGCCCAGTTTTCAAAACTAGGACTGTAATGTTATGCTTGCTTACTTAGGGTAAACCCCAGTGAATCTGGGAAAAATGAGGAAACCAGTGAATCTATAGTGAGCTTTCCCAGTAAAAATGTGTTGGATTTGGCTGCATATTTTACAGTTTGGGTTATAAAGCCTAGGCCATATTTGCCAGATATCATCCCTTCTTCTTTCATATTTTAAATTATTTTTCTAAGTAACTTCAAAGACAGAGTGAAAAAAAAAAGGAAAGATCTAGCCATGTCTTTGGTTTGCTTATGTAACCATACACCAACAAGCGATGACTCTTCTGTCTTGGATTGCTCTGAAATGGTTTCTGGGTTTCTGGGATGTTAATTAGGAGCTTTCAAACCTCAGTTTCATCTGTGATTTTTTTTTTTAAAAGATTGCCACTGTGGCTTTGGTTTAATAGGAGCCAGAAAGAATTCTGGTTAGATTATCAGTTACAGATGTCAGTAGGAAAACTACCTTAGAATTTAAGTCTTTCTGAACTATTTGATGAAATGCTTCTTATGATTTACTGGGCTTAAACTCTTCCTTGATTCCTTACTCCGTCTCCATTTCAGAGATCCCTCCTCTCTTTGTTAGCACCATATCATTTTATGTTCTCATGAGGAATCCCTCTAGAGAAGGAAATTAGCCTTCTTGTCTTTCACAATGACCGGTAGAGTCCTTTCGCTTCAGCTTTTTGCAACTGTGCCAATCTCTCTTGTAAAAAAAAAGATACCACAACTGATCTTTTAAAAAAGAAAGATCTTACCCTTTCCTGATTTTTTTTAAAAAAGCAATTACCTTTCCACTCTTCTAGCAGTATCATTGAATGTCAAGGTGAACATCGGATTATCTGAAAGGGGGGGAAAAAGGAATTTTCTTAAAAGCAAAAAAGAATATTGATGTGGTTTATTACATGTCTCAGGAGGGGGCATGGAATTTTACCTGGTTTCTCCCCTCTCTGTCTTTCCTGTCATCCATTTTCCATTACGCTATGGTGACCCGAACCTCATGGAATAAGAAGAAATTGTTCCCAAAGTGTCCTGAATTGACTTACTTGATCTATAATCCTGCAACTTCTGATAAATGCAATTTCAAATAGGGAGATAATAATCAAAGACACATGGCAAGAGTGTAACAGGGAGGTCCTAGGGTGTCTTTGAAAAGAAAAGGAGGTGTGTGGATAGAAAGATATACTATTTGCCTATGATTTGATTGTGAGTGTGTCTGTGTTTTCAGCCAGTGACATGGTACCTCACATTCAAAAAAATATAATGCACACATAAAATTCAGCCTCCTGCACTTCTCACGGAAAATTCCAAAGAGATAAACATTTTAGTGTGCTAAAATGTGACACAATTTGACTTTTAATAAATGTGCATTTGCTGAGGACACTTGTGATTGGATATTCTTGGGGGTAATCAACACTTAATCACATCTTAATTCAATACAGTAGGCTGGATCCAGAAGCAGTCTTACATGAGCAGGACACAAATGGTGTGTGGTATCCCAAATCCACCCTGTAATGCAATAAATACGGTGGCATACTTTATTAGATCAGCAAATAGTCTGATGTGGAACATGGCAGTATCTTACATACATAAGATAGCTCAGGGAAACCCTGACATCTGAGCGTTCAGCCTGGAGGCAGGCGGTGCATCACGGCCTCTCCCAATTTGAAGAGACCCTTGTCCAGCAGGCCGAGGCAAAAAGGCAGTCATGAAAGCAGCAAAATCAGGGAGCTGGACAGGGGACAGATTGTATTTGTCTTCAGTGTGGAAGGGATTGTCACTCTGGAATTGGCCTTCTCAGCCACCCTGGATGCTGTT